TCACTTGAAAATACCCAGATGATATAGATGTCCAAATTTGAAACATGGGTAACATTAGTCATAAGAAACTACCCCAGAAACAGTAAAGAAAAAGGGATAAATGTCATTATGGTAGGAAACTATTCACAATCCATATTAAATGTCATGGTTTGCAATATAAGGGCATGCCCTACTAAGCTCAGGAATCTCCCTTTTGAGGAAAATATTTAGAATGGCAATCCAATGCCCCTCTGCTTTCTGAGGGCTATGTAGTGCTGATAAGCATGGGTAAGAGCAATAGAAGGCAATAAGGATTGACTAACTCCCAGTCAATCTGGGAGAATCACACTGGGAGAATCCCAGTGTCTTCTGTCAGGGATCTCAGAGAGACACCTGGATATAGGCCTTCTGTGGGTTTTGGATGTTTTGATGAAAGGTTGCACAAAAATGGGGGGCTGCACTGTGGCAGAAAGGCCCTTTTAGATGAGAAGCTGGGCAGGAGGATAGCTACTCATTATGACCACTAGTGAGTGCTGAGGACACATTTCTAGAGGATAAGACTGCTCTAGAATCAATTGTCTAGTTTTTGACTCATCTTTAACCAGAAACTTCAGGTTTCAGGTCCTTATTGGGCTTATCTGTAACAGTGGCCACAAGTTTTGGGTTTAAATTTTGGGTATAACTAATAGAAAAATAAATTATTTCATTCTATTTTATTTCACATAGTTAGAGCTAAGTCAGTGTAGACTATGTCCAAATAAAGGCATTTTTGAACATTCAAGGGGAAAACAATGGCATGTAGGTTCATGACCAGACTGTTTCCTAGTACTTCAGCTCATGGGGAGGCTGACTTTCTGGGGTACTAGAGGATTTGCCTTCTCTTTGAGGTTCTCAGTGGAATAGCCCTACTTCCTAAGTCTCTGTGAGAGAGCAGTATCATCCTTCATTGTTGTGTCCTCTCTCTCATCTTCAAGTTATCCCTAAAGGCATCTAACCAATCCTCAATGAAGCTGATGAAGGTCCCAGAAAACTGTAGCTTAAAAGGGAGGGTTGAGGGATGTGGCAATTATTAAATTATTAAACTTGGAAGCATACATGTTAGGTCTCTTCAAATACATGGAAGCTGTTGAGTAACTACAAACTATATATCTCTCTATATTTTTTGGAAAGAAAAAGTGAAGTTAAAAAACAGCATTTCCGCAAATTGAGAAAAGCATTAATCAGTAAATTGCTCTACTTTCTGAGATTTTTGGGCTAAGTGCTCTGGTTTTATTTTACTGCATTGCAGATAACCTCAAATCTAGTGACTTAAAACAACAACTATTTTATCTCATGATTTGATGGGTCAGGAATTTGGGCAAGTCTTGGCAGAGTGATTCTTCTGCTCTAAGTCACTGAGGTCACTCAGTGGTACTCTGCTGGTGGAAGGATTGGTCTGGGGGCCCAAGATTGTTTTATTATCTTGCCTGGTGCCTTGGTGGAGGTTGCTGGAAGGTGAGTTTGGCTAGGATGGTTGACCAGAGCATTGACATGTGGCTTCTCCAGGATGTCAGTCTCAAAGTAGTTGAGCTTTTACATGGCAGCTCAGGTCTTCTATAGAAAGGATTTCAAGAGTAAAGAAATGAAAGCCACCAGTCTCCCAAGGCCTGGGCCCTAGAAATGGTAGCATTGTTTCTATGATATTCTATCAGTCAAAGCAATCAGAGACTTCCTAGAGTTGAGGGGAGGGAAGGTGGACCCCACCACTCAATGGGAGCAGTGATGACAATTTTACGGTATTCTATAATTTACCATCTTTAGGAAACAAACTCAAAGTCTGATTGTAATTATTTTTCATGCTATATTTCCACACTGTCCAAACTTGCTCAAACCAAAAAGAAGAGGAAAGAATATTTTTTTGTGTTTGTGTGTTTTAGGTACTCGCTTTCACTAATAAGAAATACTCATTAGGACCCTTTATGTTTGAATTAGTTTCAGGGCTGGTGAAACATTGTTTAGATAATTACTTAAGTCCTAGAACAATGATTAGTGTGAAAATTAATGGGGGTTCACTAATTGTATCAGCAGCAAGCTGACCAAGCATCTTTTTAAAAATGTTCTTTGGAGCTAAAAGATGCTCACTATAACTCCTGACACTTGAGGTGTGCACATCTCCTCATCACTCATCCTGTTGCCATGGAGGTCTTTGTTTTTCTTCTCATTTATTCATGTGTTTGCTTTTATAGAGAGATTTCTGACAGACCTATTCAAAAGATGTTTTTGTCATCTTGTTTTCTTTCTTCTACAGAGACTTAAGAAGGTAAAACTGAATTGAAGTGTTGAAAACAGAAGGAAACACTTGTCCTAAGTTGGGAAAGAGTGTCTGTAGAAGCAGTTGGCTCTCTTGGAGTTGGAGAGTTTTGCTTTTAAGACAGAAGTGAGAATGGCCCTAAGAATAAGATCTTGGGTCTTCATCAGTCTCTGCCAATGGTAGTTACTTGGCTGCCCAAATTTCAGCTTCTAGAAACTTGTCTGTCATATATTTATACGTCTTTGAAATGGATAGCTCCACCTGACATGCTACCTTTCTCACCTTTCAAAAAAGAATTTTTATTTTAGACAGAGACTGCAAGTGGGGAAGTGGGGCAGAGAGAGAGAGAGAGAGAGAGAGAGAGAGAGAGAGAGAGAGAATCTTAAGCAGGTTCCATGCCATAAAGCTTGATATGGGGCTTAATCTTAAGACCATGAGATCATGACCTGAACCAAAAGCAAGAGTCAGATGCTTCACTGACTGAGCTATGAAGGCGCCCCTACCTTTTTCACTTTGTATCCACTTGGGCCCTAGTATATGTCATTTCACATTCCTAGACTCTAATGTGGCCCTACCCTCAATCTTATACCTACCTTACTGCCCTGAATTAGGCATTCCAGCCCATACTCACTTGGCCTCATCCGTCCTTGACCCACCCACTGTGGTTTTTACTTCTGATTCAGTATTTTATTACCAGCCTCTATTAGTCTTCTCTACAACACAGGGAAGAAGGAAGATATTCTCCCTGGAAGTGTACTGACTCTGACCCATACCTGTACTTCCGTGGATGACATTACTGCAGATATCTTCTTATGAATGATCTCATGAGTCATTATGGTGAATATGGAGAGCCCTGCCTCTCCTTGCTGGATACTGACCATCTCATCATGCTATACTAATTGCAGTTCCCCAGAAAGGTCATGCTTTATCTCTAGGCTCTCTCTCTAGGCTGTTATATGAGCTCTTTTTTGTCAAATGACCTCTATCTTACCTCCTGTTCTTGTTTTCATGATTCAATTTAAAATCTCTTCTCCATTACTGGAGATATGGAGGGAGGCTTTTTGAGGCATTTGTTTCTTTTTATTCCCATGGTATGCTAGATATCCCCTGTTAACATACCTACCCCCATGTACCTTATCTACTTATATACCTGGCTCCCACTCTGGCTGTGAATTCTTTCTGGGTAGAGGCCATGGGATTTTTCATCACTGAATCCTCCAGCTCTAGTATGATGCCTAATGTTCTACAAATACTTATTGAATTCATGCTTGCACAATTAATTAATTAACTAATGCATGAATGGTTAAATAGATTGTTGGTATAAAAAATGGATAGGTGGTTAGAAGGCTGATTGGCTAGCTGGCAGGAAGATGGCTGCATGGTAGAAAAGATGAATGAATGGATGGTTGGGTTGGTTGACTATTTATTAACTTTATAGTAATATTGGAAAGATGTTCATAAATGATGACCTTACAGCTGGAATTTTGACTTTTGATTTCCAAATAGCTTAGCACAAACTCCATTTCCCTCAACATTCCTGTTAGAAATTTGTATACATTTTTGTTGTTGTACTGCATCTTTATGAAGATTCTGAAAGTTGATTTTAATTTAATATTCTTAAAAACTTTGGGAGACAAAATATTTAAGGAAAATATAGTAAACCAGGGGTAGATTTCATCACCTGCTCCTATCTGTACCTTGATTTGCCATGGCACATGGCTTCCTAGGCCTTTTTGGGTTCTGCAACAACAGGCTGGAAATAATTACATTTGCTTGTTTTACAGGGTTAATGAAATGAAATTACTTGGGAAAAATATGTATTCATACAATCACTCTTATCTATCTACCTATCTCTCTACCTATTTCATTGTCTATAATCTATCTATCTATAGTTTTTCATGTGTTATTGTGAAGTTTTGCTTGATAATATATCAATATATATTATATATTATGTATATCCCAGAAGAATCTTGTGATAATGTAAGTATTGTTACCCCTCTTTGTTTATTGAAGCTATAAACACAAATAAAGATTTGTTCAGAAGCATAGGGGACTAGCACAGACAAAATCTAGAATTCAGAGTCTCTGGTGCTGAGATTCATTACTTGTTACCACTGCTAAAATGATTTTTAGAGCTGCAACATTATTATACAGTATAGAATCCCAGCTGTCAGAGGGGATGGGCTGGCTCTTAGGCATGATGAATAGGTTTTATTTTGAGTGCCAACTCTAAATCAGTTGGTAATAGCTGCCTGGAGTACTGTGTGGAGGAGAATTCCAAGGTCCTATCTGAGTTGCAATTGTTCAGTGATGTTTGCCATGAATGTGGGATCCCCCATACATACTTGCCATATATTTTCCACCTCTGTTTTAAGACCACAAAAGATATTCATTATGATAGGTATTCTTGCTGGTTTTTCCACTGATTCACCATAATGATTCAGGAGAGCATTCATAAGAAAGTATCTACAGAGATTTTGCAGTTTCTGGATGCTGGTTTTGAACTAAGTATGTATACTTCTTCCTTTGTTGACTGTGGTTAGTAAAATGTAAAGAGAGCAGTAAGAAAAGCTAGCTGTGACATGAGTACAGACTAAAGTAATTTCCTTTAAAGGGGAGATGTTTGTTTTCCTTGCCAGAGTGAGTTATCTACTGCTAAGGAAGTGTGGTTTCTTGAGCGCTTGTAGTATTATATTCGATTGAAAATTAAAAGTGTTCATTTCTGTGCAGATGCAAATACAATCAGCTGAATTTTATTTGAAGCTTTGATTACAGTCTACTTAATAAGAATACACTATATTAAGCCAGTTTAACAGTATAGCAAAATGCATTTCACTTTAAAATTGAGTATTGGAAAGCTGGGAGATTACTTAATAGAATTAGGTATGATGCAACTACAGAGGTGACCCACTACCCCTCATGGATTCCTCGTGCTGGGAACAGTGCCAAAGGCTTAGAAATGTGGTTATATAAAACAGAAAATTCCACTCTGGCTTTCCCCACTGTGCTTTGTTTTTGCTAAGAATCACACCCTAGGCATTATCAATGGGTAATTTTGGCCATAAGTCAGCCTTGAAAATCAATAGTTGATAGCCTTGCCTGTTGGAATCTTGTAGTGTAATACAAATGATGTTAGCATCCTCTGTCATTGGGTCCGTGGTAGCACTGGCTATTTGTAAGATACAATCCATATTACCTTTCAGTGCTTGAGTCCTAAGCTGATGTCTCAACATGAGTGATATGAAGGACAACAGGGAATTAGTGGTTGCCCATCCTTCCACATGTCTGACCACTAAATCTGCCAGAGTCTCCAACTTGTAGGGCTTATTCTATCTCTAAAAATGTACTTGGGCCAACATTATTGTGTGAAGGAAAGGATCCCAGGGAGACAGATGAAGTATAATCACTAATTAAGGAGATTAATTCCTCATTCTTCCTGTCCCAAGTCACCTTGTTACTTTCTAGTATTGCAGCCTCAAAAGAGTTAAAGTAAGGGATATTGGTTCCTGCTGATCAGGCCACAGTGTGACACCTCCTATAGAACACACCATAAAACTACATTATTTAATAGATCTGAGTATTGCACCTGCTATCTTTTCTCCTCGTAGGTGATTAAGTTTCCCACAAATGCAATTTGTTAATATGGGGCCACATCTTCTCACAAGGTAAATCTGTGAAATTTGGCAGGCAGTTGCTTTGCTGCAGGTGCAAGATGAAAGACCTTGCCCTGGCTTTGCCAGGAAGAAAAATGATGTTGTACTCAATTCCTGGGAAAAATATTCTGACACAGAGAGTAGAATCTAATTCCAAAAAGGGGGAGTAGAATTCTAGGGCCCAAATCATGTGCTTCTATCCCTTTTGGGGAGTATATTACCTCCAAAAGGCTGAGTGGGAGATCAGAGTCTTGTTTTACATGAAGTCAGGTATTGAGCAAATCCCCTTGTTAAAGGAAGTCCTCTGATATTTGGAGCTACAGCCATTTGTGATGATAAATGATGACTTTTATTCTTACGAGCTATGAGAACTTAATTAGAGCTTAATTAAAGCTAATGCTCAGAATTCTTTGGAAGGTGGAGCAATTAAAAACTAACTTCCATATTGAATAGTCACAATGAAAAGTTATGTTTGAAATGCATGGCATCTTCACTCTGGAGCCCCATGCAATCCTGACTGGGTCTTCACACCTAAGTTAAAGCAAGAGCTGACTACTATTTTATGCATTAGAATTTCCTGAGCCAAGACTGGAAGGGGCTCAGTGCCCGAGTCCATCTCAGCCCCCCGTGCATTTACACAGAAGGTCGTCTCTGAATCTGCAACTCCAGCTCGCCATACACGTGTCTCAGAGAGTCACTGGTCATGCTGGCTATCAGCTTCCGAGAGCCAGACACCCAGGGTCGACAAACTTCTTCCCAGTGCACGGTAGAGTCAGGCCGGATTTCACTGAAAGGATGGAAAAGAGAGGAAAAATTTTACTCTCTAGAAAGGCAGATCCAGTTCCCACCTTGATCAGGAAGCAGCAAGAACCCCTGCCCGAGTCTTGTGCTGTCTTTCTCTCTGTGGATGGTGGTTAGAAGATAAAGGGCTGATTCCAAAAGTTCCAATGCAAATAAAGCCCCTATATGGGAATGTGCCAGAGACAGACCCATTGGGTCATGGCTCCTTCCACTTGGATGCATCAACTGGCTGCCCAGTAGATGTGGTCCATCCAGTATCTGGTGAAGCTAGGCTGAGCCTCCCACCAATCATGAGCCAACTCAATTCTAGCTTGTCCCTCAGCCTCCACAGCAGGCTCATGGGTGTGACTGATCTCCCTTGGGTCTCTCTGGGCCACTCTGGCTCCCTCTTGGATTAGACTCTTAGCTGAATCCCAGCTGCCTTTGCTGAAGTCCTAATACTCTAATTAGTTATTGCCAATTTCAACATTGTTCCCACTCTCAAGATCTACAACATAACCCTACCTGCTGCCAACTGATGGAGTATTTACATGCTCTATAATTCATAACCCTGTTTAACCGACAAAATGGGTCCCTTTGACCATGTATCTTTCTGCTACTCATTTGTATCCATCCTGATAATGGGACTGGTCTTTAATGGTTCTGGTATTCTCCTCTTCCACTGCAGCCTATGTTCTGAGGTTTTCATAAGCTTCATGGTCAAGCCCACTCCAGTGAATGACTGAGGTCAATCAGGGTTGGGGAGATTTAGGCTTCTCTCAGTGCTTCACATATATCACACTATGGAAGCCTCAGGAGGAAGTTACATGTAGGTTTTATATGCATGATAGTCCTCTGAGATATATACTATCTAACAGACTTAATAGTTAAGAAAAATGGAAGGAGAGGCATCTGTGTGGCTCAGTTGGTTAAGAGTCCAACTCTTGATTTCCACCCAGGTCATGATCTCATGGTTGTGAGGTTGAGCCTCAGGTTGGGATCTGCACTGGGCATGGAGCCTGCTTAAGATTCTCTTTCTCTCTCTCACTTTGCCCCTTCCCTGTTTTCATGCTCACTCTCTCTCTCTCTCTCTATCTCTCTCTCTCTCTCTCTCAAAAAAAGATGAAAAGAAAAGAGAAGGGAAGAAAAGAAGGAAGGATAAACAAGTGAAGCAACTTTTCCAAGAGCACACAGCTACTAATGGGCAGAAACAAACTTTGGACTCAAGTTTTTCTGATTCCCAAATTCATGCTTTTTCTACTATTGTATTTCATACTATATTCACCAAAAAATGAGTTCTGACCACTGTGCTTGCTTTTTTGTTTTTTGTTTTTTGTTTTTTTTTTACAAGAAAAACAGATACCCTTTTATTCAGTATTAGGAGCTTCCTGCAGTGTTGTTCATGGAGGATTCCTGGTCTGCTCTCTGACCCTCAGGGAGGACATGTGCTGGGTGTCTTTTCAAGGGATCCTGGGCCAGCATTTCTCTGGGAGAGCATTGGGGAGATGAAGGGAGACCACCATGTGTATATTAGATAGAAAAGGGACCTGTTTTCATGGGATTACTGAGGCATAGCACATCAGAATTGGAAAGGACTTAGAAATCACTTAGTCTAGTGGCCTCATTTCACAGGTGAGGAAAAGGAGATCCTATGGAATCTTCCACAGTCACAGTCTGTGGAAGTCCCAGACTATGGAAGAACAAAGACATGTTGGGGGCCATGAAGAGTGTGCTCATGCTCAGAAATGACAGACATGTTGTACAGAGGCATTCTGTGAATACATCGCTAGAGGAGGGCACTTACTACTAGTATCATGAAGGGGCTGAGGAATCAAAAGAGCTGGGGATGATGTAGCTTCAGACTGGGTGGTTACAAAGAAGGGGAACTGCCAAGGAAAGTCTGGAGTGGTTCAAAAACCTCAGCTATGTAAGTGCCCATTTGCCCTTGGGAACTGGGGCCATAAGGCCATAGAACATCACCTTGAAAAGAGCCAAAGTATAGGGAGAAATATGGAGCCCCATACCTCTGCTTGACCTATTCTGTGTAAAGTTAGAACCCCCAAATTTCCTCAAATAGGGCTAAAACCTATGTATTTTAGTTGGTGGTGGGTGTACATTCTCTGGGACAAAAAAGGGGAAATGCCCTCAAATCTTAGAAATCTAGACAGTAAATAAGAAATTCTTTTCAAACTTTTATCTCTGTGCCCAGTGAATTGGGAAAGCCATATACGTCCTTGGGGACTCCTCTCTTTGGAGTTGCTCCAGGCATTGACTTTGACACTGCTGGTCTAAATGTCTTACTTAATTTGGTATTTGCTAATTCTTTTCTTTATTTTTGTTCTTTATAAATGTGGTTCTATATATTATTTTCATCCATTATATAATCAAATTGTGTGCGAAGTGCACACACATCACCTACATAGGTATTTTTTCAAACTCAGTAAATTGATTTTATGATTCAAGGCTTGAAAAACGTTGACCTCACCATGGGTTTCTTCACCTATAAAAAGCAGACACTGTGGAGTATTGAATAGAGTGTGGGGGGGTGAATTATTATTTGTACTGCACTTGGAAGCATGGCAAAATATGGTAAAGTGCTCAGTGTTGCTTAGAAAAGTATTAGTGTTGTTGTTGCTGTGTATATTACCACCATCTCCTTTGTGGTTATTGCCTCCTCTGCCTGAACTCTGCAAGATAACTAGGAAAGTAAATTCCTCCTGCCCGTTTGCAGAGTAACAGTTCTCTGTCCTTAATTTACAGTGATTAATTCAATATGAACACATATTTTTGAGATATTTATTTCTCAAGAGCTGTGCTATTTTTACCCTGACCATTCATTCTTTCTTCCCTGGTTTCCCCAAGTGGTCAATCAGAAACACTTAGCAAAATAGTGTTCTTCTTCTTTCTAAGTCTACTTCTTAAATATCTGGCCTGGGGGCATGTAATGCAGGTGACTACCTCCAACAGAAAGTATAATCCCTGAGCTTCACTTCATTATTCACTCTTAGTCTTATACTCATCCTCATAATGATATTCGTACATGTATTTCATACATGTATACATGCCTACTCAGGAGAATCATACAAAGATATTCATACATGAAGATACCTTTGCATGTCCAAGTATGCATTTACTTATAGATAAATATGTACAGAAAGGGAAAAGAATCATTTACCCATATTGGTAGTGGAGTAATACTGGAATAATCCTATTTGCCTGGGGATAGATGTTGTGATAAATGGTTCTCAGTTAATGTGCTGAGCTATCAAGATATGCTGGCCATTTATCATCTTGAATGCACACAGGCAAATGGGATTATTAATACAATAAACTGTAACTATCTATAGGTTGTTCTCCATGTGTCTAGCCCTCAGCTTCTGTCCTACTTGAGAAATACAAAATTTAAGACAAAATTTACAAAGTCAGGGAGGTTTTCTCTTGAAATAACTTACCAAACCCGATCATTTTTTAAAGAGAAAAATGAATCTGGAAGATGAATTATTTGATGCTGTGGAAGGATCAAGTGCAGAAACTGAAAGCTGAGAGTCTGTGGGGGCAGCATTTCCAAGCATCTGAGATAGGGGGGAGGTGGTGGGAGAAGGCAGGAAGGTAAACCATCTCAGAGCACAGTCGGCTCATACCCTGAGCAAGGAATGAAGCACCACTGTCTTCCCTGTTTCCTAGTTCAATTCTCTGGCTCCTGCCTTCCAGGCCTCCTGCGTTAAGCTTGAGACCCCTTGTCTTCTAGGGCCCTGGCAGGAGTGTGGTTGGATAGGTGGGGGTAGTGATTCTCTTGATGATTCAAGATGTGTATCCTAGAAAGGAATACGCTCTTATGGAGAATTTTGCTTCTGAAGAGCTTCTCTTTTTAAGGGTCCAAGTTGTTACATGGATCTGCCACTTCTAGATCAGATCTTGGCAGCAGAGGGTACCCTGGAGTGCTTGTAATTATCTGACAATATGGAAGTGGGTGCTAGCTGGCTCAGGTCTTGGTTGTGAATGTGTGTGCTGGAGTCAGGAGGAGACAGAGAGAATAGTGCTCTTTCCGAAGTCTCAAGCTCACCCTAGGTAGTAAATATTTTCTCTCTCAAGTTCTCTCCAATTTTTGACAGTCTCATAGAAATAAAGCTATCCTTGCATTGAGAGATCCATCTTATGGATCTGGATTCCCGTAACAGATTGAGGACCTGGCTCTCTGTTTGTTACCTATCTGCCATAGACCAGTGTGTTGGAAGTAACTACCAATAGCACCTTAAGGAAGAGGGTGGGCAGGGCATTTGCCTTGTGTCCATTTAGAGACTGGACTCTTCCATCCTTTCCATGATTCACTCCACTTTGCCCTACTCCAATGTAAGATATTAACAGTAAGTGCCTAGACACTCAACCCACTTGGAGCCCGGTGCCTCCCAAATAGTGGGTCTTTGTACCGTGTGAGGATTAATCTTTCTTCTAACACACAAATGGTCTCTTTTTATGCATTGGCCTGTGATCAAGGTGGGATTTGGGGCACAGCCAAGGTCTACAGGGACCAGGAGGTTCAGTAGCCTCAGACGAAGCTTCCAGGGTTACTGTCTGAGAAGGAAAAATTGGATGCAGCAGGGGGCTGTTTTGAAGAAGAAACATGTTTCACTTTGCCTGAGTAATTCTTGCATCTGATTCAACTGGGAAGGTGAGAGAAGGGGTGAGTGAGGCTGTCAGTTCTGAAAAAGCAGGTCTATCACTGCTGACCTCTCCCTGTGGCTGAAGATGATTTCTGATTTAAATCTTTTTTTCCCTGCAATTTTCCTATTAGTACAGGAAGGGTTTTACGTTTTGTGCTTGCATTCTTTTTTTTTTTTTTTTTTAATTTTCAACATTTATTTATTATTGAGAGACAGAGCATGAGCAGGGGAGGGGCAAAGAGGGTGACACAGAATCAGAAACAGGCTCCAGGCTCTGAGCCGTCAGCATAGTGCCTGATGCAGGCACAAAACTTCAAGGTCATGACCTGAGCCGAAGTAGGATGTTTAACCGACTGAGCCACCCAGATGTCCCGTGCTTGCATTCTTTGAAAAGCACTCAAATTATTTTCTCTGTTGTTTATTGCATTCACAGGCAGTGGGCATCTCTTGGACAATGTGATTGCAAAGGCTGTGAGCACTGTACTTGAAAGAAATGCAGAGAGCACTTAGTGGGCAAAGTGTTCTTTAAAGGCATCCCAGAAGGGGTGAAGGAGGCCTTGGCCTAGTTCTACAGATTCAGAGGCGGGGTAGCTTCCAGAAAGGGTGTTGAGGAGTTTCCTAACATATCATCAGGTACTTTCTGCAGCCCTCCACCTCCCCTTCTTTGCTTTAGAAGGTCACCCCACAGGAAATAGGCTAGATTGATTGATGCTGACAGGGATTTATTTGTGGTAGAAATGAAAGTAATAAACCTCAAAGATTGGGATCTATTCTGAGTGTCACACTTTCAGAGGAGCCCTGACAAACCTGAGTAGGTGGGAGATGGGGAAAGCTAAAGCCCCATCAAGGGTCAGGGGAGGTATGGAGAAATGTGATGGTTGTTTGCAAATGTTTGCAGGGCACCAGGTGGAAGAGAGTTGGGCTTTGTTCTGTGCCTATTCAAATGACAGAATTAGGATCACTGGGTAGGATCAAGAGGTAGAACTTCTTTCTAACAATTGGAGCTATCTGACCATGAAATGGGCTGTCTTGTTGAGTGACACTTTGTCAGCAGAAGTCGCAGAAACTGCAGGGCATAACCCGATCATGCTAGGTGTAGATGAAACAATTTCATTCATATTATCACAGAGCCCAAGGTTCCTTGGGAACCAAGTTTGCAGGTCTTGAGGCTCACCTTTATTCTGTTGAAAGCAATGGTTCTAGAGTGTGTTTGTGTGTGTCAGCAAAATCTGGGGGCTGGCACTGGGAAGAAAGGACCCTTGCAAAGGGACATCTTTCAGCATCATATCTGCCACATAGTAGGTACTCAACAGATATTAATAGCACTGCTACCTGAGGAAGCAGCATGGCAGAATGCTTGAGACCTAGGTTCTGAATCAGCTACCCTGAGTCTGAGTCTTGGCACTACAATTTTTTTAATGCTTACTTTTGAGAGAGAGAGAGAGAAACAGAGTTTGAGTGGGGGAGGAATAGAGAGGGAAACACAGAATCTGAATCAGGCTTCAGGCTCTGAGCTGTCAGCACAGACCCTGATGTGGGGCTCGTGACCTGAACCGAAGATGGATACCTAACCGACTGAGCCACCAGGTGCCCCAGCACTATGCTTATAAGCTGTGAAACTCAGGCCAAATCAGCCGACCCTTCAAAGCCTCAAGCTACCCCAAGGGAGATGCTAATAGCACCTACCTCATTAGGGTAGTTTTATGGATTAAATGATGGAAGTGCCAGTCAAGCCAACCCTACTTTTACCCCATGACTTAATGGCCAATAAGAAGGTGACAACTTCTCAGACACATTCACTGGGCCTTAGATGTAAGCTTGGAAAAGACAGAAATGATAAGCTTGCCTATGTCTCTTCTCACCTTCTCAGTCCCCAGCCCAGGCCTTACCGGAACATCTTCCTCATTGGTTTCGTCACTCCAGGACCATCCAGGTATATCCAAACATTTCGCAGAGTTTCTTTTAGAGGATTGGTAAACTCAACTGTCACCACCATGTCAGAACCAACCATCCTAGAGCCCCGGACCTAAGACATGAGTTGGGGGAGGAAAATGCAGCTATTAGCAGCACATAAAAGCTTTCTGCTCTCCTGTGTCCCTAACCATCTTCACTTTTGCTGGTTTTACAGAATGGTTATTTTTTGGCAATGGAACCAGGATGATGAGGCTAGCTGATTGCTTTGACTGGGGGATACCTATTGAGACAAAGATGGAAAATTACTAATTAGGATCACACTCTTTTTCTCATTAGAAAAACCACCCTAATTAGAGCTCAGGTTAATAGCCGTGACCACCAGCTGCTCTCTATCAGCAGGAGGTGGAAGTGCACTTGGTGTAGCAACACATTTCCATCGTGAGGGTGGCCAGGCAAACTCTGCTTCTGGACAGGACTCAAGTTTCCTGACAGGACACGGTGTGTGTGTGTGTGTGTGTGTGTGTGTATCTCTGTGTGTGTGTGTCTGTGTGGGAATTCCTGAGTTCAAGAGGAAGAGATCACTCCAGGGGGCCTGAGCCTTCTTACTTTTAGGCACATTTGGAAGAAATATGGCCAAAGAGGGAGTTATCACTGTGGAACTTGAAGAAAAGGAATCTGGATGCTAAAACAGGCAAAAAAGGCATTTCATCTGCAGCTAGAACATCTCAGTCCAGAAGAGTGTAAAGTTGTTTGTGAGTTTATCTATGACAAGTCCCAGAAGGATTGGGTTTTTGGCAAAGTGTCACATGAGATGGCCCAAGTTCAGTGTCAGTTCAACACTTACTAGTGGTGAGGACTTGGGTGACTTACTCAACCTTTTTGAGATACAGTTTTCTTGTCTCTAAGACTGGACTGACATTCCCATGGGGTCATCAATGTGGAAGGCTATTATTATTTGGTCTTTGGCTGTTATATTAGGTGCCAGGAATGGTATGCCTTCCCAGCACCAACACAATGAGCTGGAAAGTGGGCAGCTGGCTATGGGGTTTGCTTGTCTGTTTAGGATGTATGCCCAATGGATGAATCTGTATAAGCTCTATACAACTTGGGAACACAATAATAATAGTAGTTCTTCCTTCCTAAGAAAAGGATAGAATGAGAAAATGCATATAAAACAGATAACACACTGCATATCATGAGGCAGAAGTTCCATACTTTATGGCTCATACTGCTTTTGGAATAGCAATGTTGAAAGTAGCTTGCTTTATTCTCCTCATATTTTAGTGCACTTTCGACTCCAACATCTAGCCAGTGCCCAGCAAACATTTGTGAAATTAAGTTTACTACTAAACAATGGAATTTATCGATTGCATTTTCTACATAACCCAGCCTTTGTTATACCCCATTTCTTTAAGCAGGCATATACTATAGAAAAAATTATGTGGAAATGAGCCTTTCTTATGAATAGAGGGAAAGAGGTAGGATAATGCCTAGAGAAAAGGACTCTCACTTACTGAATCTGCAGTAAAGAATAAATCTTCATGGCTTTGCTGTTTAAGACACAGTTTGTGTCTAAATTTATGTCTATGGGATTTTAAAGATCTATGAGAAAAATGAAAAGTGCAGCCGGAGAGAGGGCAAGATGGCGGAGAAGTAAGGAGCTCCGTACTTGCACTCGCGCCCATACATCACACAGAAAAGATCTGAAG